ATGTGAAATAAATATTGGTATCTCCATTTTCAGATGAAGAAAGAACAAACAGGTTAAGTGACTTGCCCAAGATCACATAGCCAGTCAATGGCAGAATCAAGATTTGAACTGGGGCACTCTGATTCCAGCATCTGTGCTCTATTTTTCATGTATTGCTGTTGCTCTCAAACTTATGTGGTGTAATGGAATCAGGCAACTTTGACTGGATACTTGATTCTGCAACTAATTTATTTGTGACCTTGGTCAAGTCACTTACCGTCTTCGGGCCCATTTTCTTATTATAACAATGGAGGGATTATCAAACTCGAAGAAAAGCAATTAAAAAAATACAAAAAATAAAAAAAACCCACAAAAATGGAGGGATTAGATGAGATTTATAAAGTTTCTTCAGTGATTCATTCAACACGTGACTTCAGAACAGGGGGTTTGAATCTTGGCTCAGCCCCTTCCTGGCTATATGACCTTGGGCAACTTAACCTTTCTAAACATTGATTTCCTCATTAGTAATGGGGAGAATAATTCATACCTTGCAGGGATATTGTGAGATTTGAATAAGATAATGTGAATTAGTACCTAGCATGTGTGAAACACACAGTGGATACTCAGTATCCATGAGTTCTGTTTTTTTCCTTCCATTCATTCAGTTGATGATTAGGGAAGCAGATACACCAGATTCAAAACGATTTAGACCCTGGCTTGATCCTTCTGTCCTTTTCCGTAATGGCATTCTCACCTTTGGGAGATGAGAATTAGTAGGGAAGGAAGTGTGCATATAGCCAGGTCCTATCTGTTTTTAAATAATCCATGTTTTGATTTTAGATTAAAATTTCTTTTTACAATATACAATTTAGGCCAGGCATGGTGGCTCATGCCTGTAATCCCAGCACTTTGGGAGGCCTAGGTGGGCAGATCACCTGACGTCAGGAGGTCAAGGCCAGCCTGGCCAACATAGCGAAACCCCATCTCTCCTAAAAATACAAAAATTAGCCAGGCGTAGCGGTGCATGCCTGTAATCCCAGCTACTTGGGAGGCTGAAGCAGGAGACTTGCTTGAACCTGGGAGGCGGAGGTTGTGGTGAGCTGAGATTGCACCACTGTGCTCCAGCCTAGACCTCAGACTCTGTCTGAAAAAGAAAACAAAAGCTCTTCTTGTCCTTGGAATTCTGCATTTTTTTTTTTTTTTTTTTTGTGTGTGTGTGGCAGCATTTAGGAAAGAGCTGAGGTGGACCTGGTGTGTAGCTTTGGTGGGAGGGAGATGCCTTCCTTTTCTGGGCTGAATGATTTAATAATAGTATAATAGCAGCTTTCATTAATTTTTACTATGTGCCAGGAATGTGTTAAGCACTTTATATACATGAACCCACTTAATTCTCCTAATAACCCTGTGAAGTAGATGATCTCATTTTACAGAGGAGAAAAGTGGGACTCAGCCAGTGAAATAACTTGCTCAAATTCTCACCTAGTGAAGGGTAGAGTGGCCATTCATACCCAGCTCTGTTGGACTTCAGAACTCCAGCTCTTAATATATACTTTTCCTTCACTTCCTTGAACTGTCTGGCCTGAGTCTCCTTTTCTCTAAAAACTTCTAGTTCTGGAATGGTACCAACTTAAGGGGTCAGGGAAACGACCTTTACTTGTGTTCCTTTGAGCTCTTATTGTTTTGAGTGGGAAAGAGAATGTGAAGTCAGTTGACATTTCTTACCTGCTGGTTGCAGTCCTACCATGAGGCCCTAGTCAGTTGTGAGACATTGAAAGTTACTTTAAAAAAAAAAATAAAGTCCTGGTGCTTAAGAGGAAGAAACACAGGCCTGCTATGTTTATGTAACTCTCTTTTGTATTATTACAAAATTAAACATGTTCACCGTAATATATTTAAGCAGAAATTACAAAGAAAAAAATAAAAATTCTCTTTTCTAGTCTTTATTTTCTCCACCTAGGCCAACTGGTCAGGGTAACCACTGTTCAGACTTTGGTTTGTATCCTTCCAGGTTTTTTCTTTGCCAGGCTTACTTTGGAACTGCACCTTTACACCTTTACTCTGTCTCCTGAGTAGCTGAGACTAAAGGACTGCACCACTGCACTGGGCTGGCTTACTTTTGAGTCTCCATTGACACTTAAGATTTCTGCCATTGCATCCTTTTCTGTAAAGTCTTTCCCTCACCTCCTGGTAAAATTTTTCTTGTCTTTGGAGCTCAGTTCAAGTCCTCCCTTTTCCATTAATCCTTTGCAAACCCATGATAACTCATTCTGCCTTAGAACTCATAGCATTAATTTCTACCACTCATTTGCCAGTTGACCATGAAATGCTGTGTATCATCACTTGTATTTTATTATTTGTTATTTAACTTCTCACACATTTGGCCAGTTAGATTGTGCTGCTTGGGCTCATGGGTTATGATTTATTCTTCTTTCTATTCCCAGTTTTGCCTAACACGGTGTCCTACATTTAGCAAGTAGTCAGTAAATGTTGATGTGATTGGATTTTGTTAGTACTTCACACCCTTCTAAAGATCAGGTGCTCAGAGCCAGAAGCCTGAGGGAACACTTACCTGGCTGACATCATCTTGGCTGCCTGTCAAGATGGGGTGTGTGCCTGAGAGGACCATCTGCAAATGAAATACTTGTGCAACAGGTTATGTTTTCTCCTTTAGTGGGTGGGATTCAAGACTTCGTGTTGGGAAAAAGAGACAGTAAGTGTAGGAGGAGGGCTGGAAAGGGGATGGATGAGAGGATCGTACCTTGTGAGAGGTGGATATATGTCTTTATTAAAAACATAAATATAAAGGGCCGGCATATTGCAGAGAGAAGCTTCTTGGAATCAGTAGGCTAATTAGACAAACCGGCTTCTCTGGTGCAAACCAGTTATTAATTGCCATTTATTTTCTTTGCTATAAAACTATACCACCCATCTACCTACTTTCTCATTAGAGTGAATCTGGAGAAAAGGCTTAGGTTAGATTTAGGAAATGCAGGAGAAAAATGCAGGACAGTCAGAGTAGGGCAAGGGATGGGGTATTCCTTTCTCTCATTTGTCTTATGAGCCCTAGACGTTAGGGGTGGCCTGGACCTCCCTGCCTTTGCCAGTAGAGGTTGCTATTGAAGTGGTGTAAAACCTCTTGTTTCTACCCCTGCTACCTCCTTTTGCCCCATCTTATTTTTCTCCTTCACTGACACCCTCCTACCACACACACATTATTGGTTAGTTATCATTCCTGTCTCTGAGGCTCAGATATGCAGTGGACCACCCTGCATTTAGCTGTCCGAACTTTGACTGTAACTTGTTCATGTTTCTATCCCACTCCTCCCCTCCCCCAATTGATTTGAAAGGGAGAGGAAAGGAAATGGAGTTTGATGATTTTAACTCTTCTGTGACTGTGGCTTAGAGGGGGCAGAATGTTTTGAATTGCTTGATTTAGGGGTCTTGAGGTCTCCTAATACAAGGATCTATTCTTATTGTTAATAGAAAGATCCCACTCCATTCTTTTTTTATTTTATTTTTCTCTGAGTAATGTGGACTCACAGAAAGTCTTGTGTTGAAGTGTTGGTACCTGCCCCTGAAGGGGAGAAGATCCCTTTCAAACTTGATTGTCCCCCCCCACCCCCCCACCCCGCGTGAACGGATATCTCATTATCAGAAGATGAAGATTAATGGTTCTTTAAACAGAGTGTAAATAATAGCCAACACCCTAATACATTTCTAATGATCGGGCTTTGGCTTTAAAAGCATTAGGCTAGATGCCTCCCTATGTTTTGTGGGATGATTTAGCTGTAACCAGCCTGGAGGCAATAACAATACTAAATAACTTTTTGTAGTCATTTGAAGTCACATTAAACATTGAGATGTACTGAGACTGTCTTGGTGGGAAGTTTTGGCCTATGGGAATGATGTGGGTTTTGGTTTCTACTCCTTTCTCTGTTTCCAGATAAATCCTCCTACATGTCCCATTCTCTGGCTCTGGGAAGTACTGACAGTGGGGAAAATTAGTACACTCATCCCATTGTTCAGATCAAGTTTCCTGGGTGCGGTTTTGCAGAACTTCCTACAAGAGCTGACTCAAGAGTTCTCTTTTATTGTGGAGCTGTTCCTGCTCTTACATGCCATACTAATTTATATCCTTGAGATTTTGGGCAGCATCATTTGGATGTGTTAAGTTGGGAATGAAGAAATTGAAAATATTTTCAGAGGTTCCTTGAGAGAAAGGTTCCTTTTGCTGGGTAAACCAATGTTCCCTAAATGCTGTGGCTAAGAAGTGAAGAATTCTAAGCCTACTTTTTTTTTTTTTTTTTTTCTTCTTTTTTAAAGAGACAGAGTCTTGCTCTTTCACCCAGGCTGGGGTGCAGTGACATTATCATAGCTCACTGGAACCTTGAACTCCTGGTTCAAGTGATCCTCCTGCCTCCACCTCCTGTGTAAGCTAGGAATACAGGCACATGCCGTAATGCCCAGCTTAGTTTTATTTTTTTTTATTTTTGGTAGAGACAGGGTCTCACTATGTTGCCAAGGCTGGTCTTGAACTCCTAGCCTCAAGCTGTCCTCCCATGTCAGCCTCCCAAAGTGTTGGATTATAGGTGTGAGACACCTTGTCCAGCTACTGTTTTTCCTTTTTGATGTCAGATCCCTCCAAATAACAGTTATTTGCCTTTTCTTTCCTCCTACATATAGACTGTGAGCACCTTGAGAGCTACGAAAGCATCTCACTTATTTTTGTATCTCTGATGTTTAGGACAGTGTCCAGCTCAAAGTGTTTATAAATGTATGTTGCGTTGAATAGTGGAGGGAAGTTTTAAATGCATTTACTGTAGATAGACACATGCTTAGCATATTGAATTGGGAGACATTATTAGAAAGTGGAGATGGATAAAGAAAGGAATTTTCATGAATATGATACAGGGAATTTTTGTTTCCTAAGGATTTAAAATTTTTATGTATTTTTTTTTTTTTTTTTTTTAGAGATGGGGTCTTGCAGTGTTGCCTAGGCTGGTCTCTACTGCCTTCATGTGATTCTCCTGCCTCAGCCTCCTGAGTAGCTGGAATTGCAGGCATGAGCCACTACATCCAGCTTGCCTAGGAATTTTTGGAGTAACCGTTGTTTTACGGTTCCTTTACATGGAGAACATTTAGTAGTGTTCCATCTGACTACCTTGGACAAGGCACTGCAACCTTCTTCATAGCAGGGACTAAAAATACCTGCCCATTCCCCTCAAATGGAGGGGTATCCCTCAGTAAAGGTAGAGGCTCAGAATTAGATTGGGGGTGGAAAAGGAAGCATTGAGTCCTCCTAGCCCTGCATTGCAGAAATGTAAAGCTGTTATGATAATTGCTGTTGGCAACCAAGAAAAGTCTCGGCCTCTGGTTTGTACCTACACCCAGCCACAACCTCAGACTGGGTGGATGCAGACTTTAAATATTGGGGTCACCTGTAGCTGTTGGCACATGTCCCTGTGGTTTCTCTGGGTATTGTGCAAGCATTACTTTTTGGCTCTTTTCCCTGTGTCCATTAGTAAAAAGTAGGAAGTTTGAGGAGCTGTGCTTTTGGTTGGCATTAGGCTTTGGAGTGCCTTTATTTCCCATATTTAACTAGTAAATATCCAAGACTCCATAACAAGATGGCCCTGCTTGGAAATTCTTACTTAGGGAGTGACTGAAGCCTGAGAGGAACTGCACAGCCCTCTGCAGTGAAAACTGAGTAGTCATTTCCCTAAGCATGGCTTGGATCCCGATCAGCTGATTTCCTGTCTCTACAAGGATATGATTCCTTCCCCTTCCTTCTGGAAGAAATGGATATTTTTTTCATTTCCTGTTTGATAGTGTGTTTTCTGCATACCAGGAGACACTTGATGACTGTAAATCATTTGTTGTGTTGGGGGTGGGAAGGAGGCTTTTGTTTTCAACAAAATGGCTTTCATTTGAGAAATTCAAAGCACATACATGAACCCAAGCTTCTTTGTACCCATGGGAGAGACACAGGATCTAAGAAGATTGTTTTGAATCCCTTTCCTGGGCTGTGCCTACTTGACCTGTACTGGTGGAGCCCCTTCTCTCTCTTAGTTAGAAAAGCTCAGTCCCTTTTGCGGATATACATGCTGTGGATTCTGCTCATGCCACATCCGCTACTCAGCCTTTTTTGTGCCTAAATCCACTGGAGAACAACTATTAGTCCCTGGGGGAAGTGACACCACCCTTGGAATGGAACCTGGCTGGATGCTCCCTTGATCCCTGACTTAGTGACAGACTGGGACAGGAATCTGGCGGTCCAGATTTCCTGTCCTCTGTCCTCACCAGCAGACTCTGCTGCTTCCACTCTGGAGCCAGGGGTATGGGGTGTGGTGGGAGCTGGTTGCTAAACAAGCAGCGCCACCTGTGGACCTGCACAGCCACTTTTTTTTCTAACCAAGAGCTGCCCTTCCAGTCTGGCCTGTTCCTGATCCATCTGGAGTGAGAGCAGTGGGGAGGCAGTCATTGTGATCCCTTTTGTTTGTAGTGAAGCTTTGCTTAGGTGTTTGAGGGCCTGGGGTTTAATTTTGTAACATATTCTCAGTATAGTTGTGTGTATTTAACTCTTAGATTTTCTTCTTTTTCTGTCTGTTTTTATTTTTCCTAACTTTATAAAGGTATAATTGATAAATAAAAATTGTACATCTTTACGGTGTACAATGTGATGTTTTGTTATATGTATACATTGTGAAATGATTAAATCAAGCTAGTTAACATATCACCTCACATATTTATTTTTGTGTGATGAAAATATTTAAGATTTACTACTAGAAATTTCAAGTATACAATACATTGTTATTACTGTAGACACCATGCTGTATAATACATCTCCAGAACTTATTCATCTTTTCTAGAGTTTCTTCTTCTTAAATGAATTATTAGGTTTCTTCTTGACCTTGGAGAAGTCCAGAAAAATTCTTATAAAATAGGGAATTGCATGGTAGGTTATGAGAAATGTTGGTTTTGGGTTTTGTGAATATTACAAACAGCTTTTCCTAGTTTGCTAGGGATTTGCATGGCCAGGTGTTTGGTGCATTTAAAATTTTTAGATATCATCGTCAGAACAATTTTAATAAGAATAAGTGGAATCAGGGAGCATGCCCCTAACATTTAACAGTGCATTCTTGCTTTTACCTCTGTTGCTGACCATGTGCTTTCTTGCTCCAGGGGTTTTCAGTTTTTTTTTTTTATTTTGTAGTATCAGATAAATTTTCCCTCTAGGGTAGGAAGCAGCATCTTATAGTGCAAAGGAACCCTGACTTTGGTTTTTACTAGCTCTGTGATCTTGAACAGTCATGTAACCCATTTGTGCTTTTTCTCATTCCTAATTTGCAAAATGTTGGTGGTGATCACCATCTTGCAGGATTTTTGTAAAGGTTAAATGAGTTAATATACATAAAGCACATTGGTTGGCACGTAGTATGTAATCGTGGCTTGTTTTTTTTTTTATTAGGATTCATAATAACAGTATGATTTTATTATAAAACACACTAACATAACATTTAGCATTTTAGCCATTTGTAAGGGTAAGTTTCGTGGCAGCAAGTACATTCACTTGATTAGCAGCCATCACTATTATCCATCTCCAGAATATTTTTATCTCCTCAAACTGAAATTCTAAACCCATTAAACAATAACTCACCTTCCCCCTCCTTAGCTACTGGCAACCATGATTCTACTTTCTGTTTCTATGCATTTGACTACTCTATGTACTTTATATAAGTGGAATCATAGAATATTTGTCCTTTTGTGTCTGGCTTATTTCATGTAGCATAATGTCCTCAAGGTTCATTCATGTTACAGCATGTGCCAGAATTTCCTTCCTTTTTAAGGCTAAATAATATTCCATTTATGTATATACCACATTTTATTTATCCATTCATCTGTTGATGGATACTTGGCTTGCTAATAATATGATTATTTTTATTTATTTTTTATTATATTTATTTATTTATTTTGACAAAGTCTTGCTCTGTCGCCTAGGCTGGAGTGCAATGGTACGACCTCTGCTCACTGCCGCCTCTGCCTCCTAGGTTCAAAATAGTCAGGTTGAAATCCCTCCTGGGATTACAGGTGCTGCCCACCACGTCTGACTAATTTTTGTGTTTTTTTGGTAGAGACAGGGCTTCACCATGTTGGCTGGGCTGGTCTCAGACTCCTGACCTTGTGATCCACCCATCTCGGCCTCCCTGAGTGCTGGGATTACAGGCCTGAGCCACCATACCTGGCCAGATTATTTTTAATAGTAATATAGTGTTTCTTTAAGGTTTGTTCAAAGGCTTCAAAGAAGCTGGGGATAGGAAGATGAAGTAGAACAATATCTTTCTTTGTGTGTTGACTTTGTCTCTCTGGGTTTTGCTTGCAGGACCTATTTTGATGGGAGTCTGATGAATGATGGACTTAATTAACCCCATACAGAGGGTCCAGACCTGGCAGAATTCTAGGGGAAAAAAAATTGCCTCCTAGCCTAATTTTTCTTAGTACTAAACTACTCTGTGTGCTTACAGTTTGTTAGTCTTGCTTCTCTCTCTCTCTCCTTTACACCTACTGTCAATGGGATTCTTGGAGTGGTGACATGTCTTATCTAGACTGTTAGATTGTTTTGCAGAGGTCAGGGGCTGAGAGGGAATTGCTGTATAGCTGAGGGGTGATGAGTACAGTGAACGGCCAGCTGTGTGCCAACCCGGCTTTCCAGGGCAGTATTTTTAGGATATATGTACCCATGTGTGTGTGTATCTATGTGTGTGCATACCTATGTCTACACATATACGTACATATGTACACACGCACAAATATCCCATTATTGACACTTGACACAGTAAAGGAGCTACATGTTCTTCTCTGGGTTTCCCTCAATGCAGCCCACCACCAGAATGCATGCATTGGAAACAGGGGTCCAGGATGGCATGAGAGGTCTCCAAGGAGTTCCAAGTATAAAGAGCCTTAGCAGAAGGGCCATGACAGCTTAGACAGGCTCTTACAATGTCTGCCAAAATTCTGAAGAAAGACTACTATCCAGCTATGATTTTTCTGCTGGATGATTTTTCCAGGTTAGACCTGAAAAAGTCCAAGAGCCTAGCTTCTGTGTCCTGTGCTTATGCGTGGAGGGTGAGAAGGAGAGGCAGTCCCTCCAAACTCTTGTATCTCCAACCGTGGTGGATTCTCTTGTTTGTTTATAGGGTATAAGGGGTGGTTTATACTGGTTTGTCCTCAGTTCGCTCTCTGTGCCTGAGAGGACTGCACTGTCATGGGGATTTTTTGCCCAGTTGTGTCACCGACATAGAGACACATTACCTCAGTGTACTCCCCTATGCAAATTGGCCTACCCTCATATTGCCTGCTTTTGTACCTCCAGTTCTTAGATACCAGTTGTCTTTCAAAAGCCACTCAGGATGATTTTATGCTGTCAGCATAATAAAAGTGAATTGAATTGTTTGTATATGAAATTAATAAAGATCAAATTTAGTATTAGCCAACTAAGATTATATATATACATATGACTAAAGAAAAATAAATTTTTAAAAAGAATCTATTTTAGAGAAACATGAAATATGAACGACAGTAGGGGGCACTTGTATGACAGTGGAATAAAGACAAGCATGAGAGTGTTCAGTTTGAAATGTGAACTTTTACTTGTTTCTTGGAAGTTCGTGTTTTTTTCCTCATGCAACTTTCTGCAAAACTCATGGTTGGATTTTAAATATAAAATATTTGACATGACCGAGTTATATTTATTCTTTGTCAACTAAAGATAGACTTCTTTCAAAGTTTGTTATATTTATTTTATTTTTTTTGAGAGAGTCTCGCTCTGTTGCCCAGGCTGGAATCTTGACTCACTGCAACCTCTGCCTCCCAGGTTCAAGAGATTCTCATACCTCAGCCTCCTGAGTAGCTGCAATTACAGATACACACCACCACACCTTGCTAATTCTTTAATTTTTAGTAGAGACAGGGTTTTGCCATGTTGGCCAGGCTGGTCTCGAACTTCTTGCCTCAAGTGATCTGTGTGCCTCAGCCTCCCAAAGTGTTGGGATTACAGGCATGAGCCACCATACTTAGCCTTATTTTATTTTTCTAAAGACAGGCTCTTGCTCTGTCGCACAGGCTGGAGTGAAGTGGCACAACCATAGCTCACTGTAATGTCTGTCTCCCAGGCTCAATGGATCCTGCCACCTCAGTTTCCCAAGCAGCTGAGACTATAGGCGAGGGTACCACACCTGGCTGATTTTTAAATTTTATATGAAGATGAGGTCTCATTATATTGCCCAGGCTGGTTTCAAACTCCTGTAATCAAGCCATCCTTCTGCCCTGGCCTTCCAAAGAGCTGAGATTACAGGCATGAGCCATTGTGCCCCAATTTTTTTTTTTAACCTTTGGATGCTTTTTGGCAAGCAAGTAAGAATTGCTAGATTAAAAGTATTGCATTATCTCATTCAACTATATGAACATATAAAACTTTAAAAAAATGTCTGAAACAGTCTATTGGAAGTTTTAATTTCTATATCAACAAATTTGTACTATTCTTGATTATGTGCTACCTGTTACTCAACGATCTTGTTGAAATACTTTCTTGTACAAAACAGTAAACCAAAACAAAACAAAATGAGTGTACTTCATATTGTATTTGAGTAGAGGTCCTAACAAACACTTGAAAAATGGCTGGTGTTAGATGAACACAGTTTTCTCTCATTTCAGTAGTGATACTGAAAGATTTTAAAGGCCAAATAATTTTTTTTTTTTTATAGACAGAGTCTTGCTCTGTCACCCAGGCTGGAGTGCAATGGCTCAATCTCAGCTCACTCCAACCTCTGCCTCACAGGTTCAAATGATTTTCCTGCCTCAGCCTCCTGAATAGCTGGGATTATAGGCATGTGCCACCATGCCCAGCTAATTTTTGTATTTTTAGTAGAGACGGAGTTTCACCGTGTTGGCCAGGCTGGTCTCGAGCTCCTGACCTCAGGTGATCCGCCCACCTTGGCCTCTCAAAGTGCTGGGATTACGTGCCCAGCCCAAGGCCAAATAATTTTTCTGAGCTATCTTGAGAACCTTTGGTGAGGAGTAACAGTATCATTTTCAAATTGCCCTCTGCACAAACTACATAATTTTGGGTATTCCGTGTTCCATGTGTATGATAAAGCTGGCTATTAATCACTGTGTGAAAATGGAATACAAGGCATGCTGAGTACTTCAAATTCACAGATAACTGCTAAAACTAATTTTAATCAACCGTCTCATCATTTATTCCTACTTGAATTACCAAAGATGCTTGCTTATGGGGGGAAATTGAACAGATTTTTTTTTTTCTCTTGTTTACCCTCTACCTTTTTAAAAATGTTGTCTGCCACTTTTTTTTTTTGAGACAGAGTCTCGTTCTGTTGCTGCAGCCTCTGCCTCCCAGGTTCAAGCAATTCTCCTGCCTCAGCTTCCCATGTAACTGGGATTACAGGTGCCCCCACTACACCCACTAATTTTTGTATTTTTAGTAGAGATGAGGTTTCACTATGTTGGCCAGGCTGGTCTCAAACTCCTGACCTCAAGTGCCTGTCTCAGTCTCCCAAATCTGCCGCTATCCTTTATATTCCAGCTAAAATGAACTAGTTAATGCTTTCTGTTTTTTTCTTTTTTTCTAGCTTTCCTGCCTTTGCTCATGCTGTTTCCTGTGCCTGCATTTTCCTTTAATTTCTACATTATCTTTCGTCCTTACCTGTCCATCTCAGATGTTACTTTTTGTCGATCCTTTCCTGATTACCTCAGATAGAAGTCATATAATCTTCCTGAACTAACATATTATTGAAAGAAATGCACTTAAAATTAATAGTAATAACTGACAACATAGTCTGTTACAAAATGTTTTTGCATGTAATAGCTCATTTCAACCTCATAGATTTTGTTTATTACTCCTATTTTACTGAGAAAACTGAGGCTTAAGGGGATTAAGTGACTTGCCTGAGGTTACCCATAGTTAGAACTAAATATTTTTTTTTTTTTTTTTTAATAAGAGACCAGGTCTTGCTGTTGCTTAGGCCATGGTGCAACCATGGCTCATTGCAGCCTCAAACTCCTGGGCTCAAGAGATTGCCCCACCACAGCCTTCTGAGTAGCTGGGACTGTACGTGTGTGCCACTACACCCAGCAAAATTTTTGTGTTTTTTTTAGAGATGGGGTCTCACTATGTTGCCCAGGCTGGTCTTAAACTCATGACCTGAAATGAACCTTCTGCCTTGGTCCTCCAAAGCGCTGGGATTACAGGTGTGAGCCACCACGCTCAGCATAAATCTAAATCTTATGACCTCAAATCCCATGTTCTTTCCATCAAATAGTGCTATCTTATGATTCTTATCACTTGCTAATATGTGTTATAGTTACTTTTGTAAATGTCATATCTGGTCCACTACTTTGTGCTGTCCTTAGATGAAGAGTTAATGCCTTATTCTTTGTCTCTGACACTCTATAGCACAGAGTATTGTGTATAAAAAGCCTTCAATAAACATTGCTGAAAGACTGACAAGTTCAAGAAATGTTGATGAATGTATGTGCCTAGCACCGTGCCTGGCACATAGATGCCTAATAAATATTTATTGAATTTAATTGTAAAATGGATCAAAGATCAGAGTTAATAAGAGCTTATAGGGCACTTAATAAGTGCCAGGTGGTCAGGCATGGTGGCTCATGCTTGTGAACCCAGCACTTTGGGAGGCCAAGGTGGGCAGAACAGGAAGTCAGGAGATTGAGACTATCCTGGCCAACATGGTGGAACCCCATCTCTACTAAAAATGTAAAAATTAGCAGGGTGTGGTGGTGCACGCCTATAATCCCAGCTACTCAGGAGGCTGAGGCAGAAGAATTGCTTGAACCCAGGAGGCAGAAGTTGCAGTGAGCCAAGATTGTACCACTGCACTCCAACCTGGGTGATAGAATTTAATTCCAAAAAAAAAAAAAAAAAAAGGTGCCATGCACTGTTATAAATGCATTATGTCAAATTAACTAATTTAATCCTCATAACCTATCTCAATTTTACATTTGATGAAACTGAAGAACAGGAGAGCATAGTGACTTGCCCAGGGACACATAGCTGGTAAGCAGCAGAGTTAGGTTTCATAATTTGGCTCTAGAATTGTCATGTACTCAAACATTATGCTACAGTCAGTTGTTCAGAATATTTTTACACTATTAAGTTCCTCCGGAATGCCTGTCTGGTGTGTAGCTCAAAGAACGAAAAGCAGAAGCAGCATAACTTGTTGAATATACTCTTGAGCCTGCGTCAGAATCACCTGGAAGGCATGTTAAAACACAGATTGCTGGGTCCCACCCTCAGTTCTGATTCAGTAGGTCTGGGGTGGGGCTTGAGAAATTGTATTTCTAACAAGTTCCCAGGAGATGCTGATGCTGCTGGTCTGGGGACCACTTGGTGTAGTGTGTAGGTGTTAAGAGCATTGACTCAAGCTGCTGAGGTTTGAATCTCAGCTTTGCCATTTATTAACTGAACTTGGGCAAGTTATTGAACCTTTCTGTGCTTCAGTTATCTTTAAAGTGTTTTACTGAGACAACATATAAAATTCTTACGGAGATTGAATGAAATATGTGTAAAGTGTTTCAAATGGTGTTTGGCTCGTAGTAAGCATATGGCCTTAGCTACAGTAATGAGGATAAGACATGTTTCTTGCCTTATAGATTTTAGAGTCTAGTTATTATACTTTTTTCTTTGTTCTTTTATTTTGAGACGGAGTCTCACTCTGTCGCCCAGGCTGGAGTGCAGTGGTGTGATCTTGGCTCACTGCTGCCTCTACCTCTTGGGTTCAGGTGATTATTCTGCCTCAGCTTCCTGACTAGCTGGGACTACAGGTGCGTGCCACCACACCCGGCTAATTTTTTATTTTTATTTTTGGTAGAAATGGGGTTTCACTGTCTTGGCCAGGCTGGTCTTGAACTCCTGACCTCATGATCCACCTGCCTCGGCCTCCCAAAGTGCTGGGATTACATGTGTGAACCACCGTGCCCGGTCTATACTTAAATCTAATAAATAATTTTTAAAAGTACAAAATTAGGTATTAGTTTACATGGTTCTGACTCTAGATTTGGAAAGATGAAAAGCGTGTATCTTGGGAGATAGGGTGGGTAATGGGGGACCAGGAGGAAGAAAGGTACAAATGTTATTAGCTCATTTGAACCTAGAAGATAAATTCCATTGTCTTCTAGTCCCTTTGTACCTTTGTTAGAATTTAGAAAGGTTAGAATTGCCAGTGGTTTTGGTTTTATTACCTGAGAACTTGAGAGCAATAGAGGGAGGTTCCTATGCTCTGTTTGCCAGAGATAACTGACTCCTTTTCCCATTTCTCTGTCTTAGAGCTGGTATCGGGTCTGCAGGCAGCTCTGGCAGCGTTTGCTTTTTGTCGGGGGACAATGGCTAAGGAAGTGGTTTGCTACTGGCTTCTGAAGTTGCGCTCTATAGCCTTTATCCTCCACAGCTGCCTCACATAGTTTTGATTCTTGCTGAGAAAGGCAGTTGTTAGGTTTGGAAATCTTCAGATTCCAGAGCCAGCTGGACAGCTGAGCCTCTGGTAGCTATTTCTCAAACTGCCAGCCTCCTGTTTCTCATCTCCCTGGGCCCCTTCTTTTTTGCTTTGAAGCAATATCCTATATTTAGTGAACTAACCAATTTGAGGTTAGAGGAAATTTGATGGGGGAGTCTCTCCCACCTTAAAATTCTGGATGGATGGAGAATTTGGGCCCAGGAACAAGATGTATCCTGTTAAAAAAATTT